TGGGAATACTGTAGCAGTTAATCAATCATCGAATTGATGGAAATGAACGGTTGAGAATGATCGCTCGCGCGCTCTATTGCGCAGAAAGTGCTGCGAACATTCAGGGATGATGGATGGATGGATGGATGGATGACATCTCGTCTTGTTGGCGCGCTTCATGTTCTGCCGTGCCCATGCCGTCGTTGCCTTATTCCCCCGAATACAACTTATGGCCGCGATGGCAGGCTATATCTGTATCTGACTTGAAATCCGCATTGGAAACATCGACGATGGCATTCGCCCATGCGTTTCTCGCCGGGGAAAGTTTTGGGGGCGTAGGGACATGAGGAGGAGGAAGGGCGTAGGGACATGAGGAAGAGGAAGGGAGAAGGGAGGAGGTTGAGGGGGGGGGTGGGGGAGGTGGAGAAGTATTAAGCATGCGCGTTGTATTCGGGAAAAGTGGGGAGAGGAAGGAGAGGAGGAGGGAGAGGAGGAGGAGGGTGAGATTAGTAGCAGCAGGAGGAGGAGGAGGAGGTGGAGGAGGAGGAGGAGGAGGAGGAGGGAGAAAGGTGGGGGGAAGGAGAGCCTCTCTGCTCTACTTACCAAATCTGTAGAAACGCCGAGTGTATCTGCAATAAGAAGGTGGGATTTATACACCCAACATTTTTTTTCTGCTTTTTTTTTATTTTTAATAAATGTGGACCGATGGACCATGGGTCGGATATGAATTTGATTAACAAAGATAATTCACTTTATCTTAACCAAGAGGACGAGAGAGGATTTTTTTTTTTTGGGAAAAAAAAGAAAAAAAGGAGAAAATCTACAAAAAGGCGAGAAATTTTTATTTTATTTTTGGTCTTTTTCACGTTGAGTGAGTGGTGCAGAGAAGCTCTAAATCTGATTGAAAAAAAAAAAAAAAAAAAACCTGATTATACGCGTTTACTCTCACGGGAGCATGACAAGCTGAGAGCATACTCCATCACGGTATTCATTTTCTTTTTTCCTTTTTCTTTTTTCCTTTTTCTTTTTTTCCTTTTTCTTTTTCGGTCTTTCTGTCGTTGAGTGAGTGGTGCACAAAGGCCCTAAATCTGATTCTTTTCTGCTCGTATTTGCTGCCAAGAGCATCTGACGGTGGCCGTAATTGCGGTCAGATGCATCCATGAAGCTCCCTCGTGTGTTTGAGTATATGCCTTGACAGACAATTTGCTTGGCCTGATCCTCTTATGGGAGTTGAATTAGGTCAAACTTATACGAGCACTTTCTCGACCGAATCTAGTCGTGATTGCGGTAATGTACATGCACGAGAGTCCTAGTGTGAGTATGCCCGTAACTTTGTCTTCGAACTCTACTTTTCTTGTCCTCCTCCTCCTCCTTCTCCTCCTCTTCCATCTCCTCCTCCTCCTCCTCCTCCTCCTCCTGCTCCTCTTCCTGCTCCTCCTCCTCTTCTTCCTCTTCCTTCTCCTCCTCCGCCTCCTCTTCCTCCTCCTCCCCTTGTCTTCCTCGTCCTCGTCTTCCCCTTCCTTCTCCTCCTCCTCCTCCTCCTCCTCCTCCTCCTCTAATTTTCTCCTTCTCCTGCTTCTGCTCTTCCTCCTCCTCCTGCTCCTGCTGCTGCTCCTCCCTCTTCCTCCTCCTCCTATTCCCCCTCCCCCTCTTCCTCCTCTGCGAAACCCTAATTGTGTCAGGTCTAGAATCATCCATTTGTGGACATCATTGGTCCGAAATGTGTAGGACTAGAGTCGTCCACGTGTGGACATCATTCTCATCATTTTTAAAATTTTGCCCATTTCTGTGTAACACACCTCGGATGTACGGAACTCTGATTGGACCCAAAAAAA